ACACACACACACACACACACACAAAATATACACATCTATATATATATATATATATGTATAAAAAATTTACTTACTAGGATTCTTATGCTGCAGATGTTTTATATACGATTAGTTTCTTGAATCAATGAATTAATAGCAGCGACGTTCATTCCTCCTTGGTCGCAAACGGTTGCTACCGGTATAAATCCTCTTTTTATTATAAATATGAGCCATTCTTTGATACATTTAATAAGTTGTACGGTATTAGTTGCAGATTTAGAAAATCCAAAACCAATAGGCATGTGATTGCCTGATGCTAGACACTTCATGTAAAACATTATTACATGATCCGTAAATTTTCTAGTTTGTCTTGTACCCTAATCTTCAAATCCGATAATTCTATCTCTTTTTATATCATAATTGATTGTAGGTTTCAATGACATTTCGTCCCATATTAGTACAACATTCAAATCTTTTGAATCCATTATTTCTTTTGCAGCTGATTTAAGGTATTGGAAAATTTTTTTGTTAAAATCAATATCAAAAGAAATACGTCTAAGTTGCTTGTTTAAAGTAGTAATGGAGGGATATAACAAGTGTTTGGCATAGAAATTATAAGCATGACGAGATCTTCGATACATGCCAATACAAAAAGCTTTTTCTTCGTCTGTATAACGTCATCCCTATTATTGACAAAAAGAAATATAACCGATTTTATGATTTTATAGTTTATAATTATATTATATATTGTTTTATATTACAAATTTATTATATAAATATATTTTATGTAAATTCAGATATTAATTAATATTTAATTCATATGAATTCCTCAGATTATTAAATAAATTATTAATTAATAAATTATCAATAAATAATTATCATAAGTTAAACTACAGGACGCTATAAGAATAAATCATGTGATAATAAATATTAATGAATATTATATAACTATTAAAATTAGCAAAAAATAATAAAAATAAGTAAATTTAGAAAAAAAATTTTTTAATAAATGCAAATAAATTATTAATGGATTCATGTTGTAATTGTTATTATTGGACTTTTACCTGGGGAGGTATATTATTGTTTTTTACGATCATATTCACAAATTGTTGGCGTACAAGTGTAGTTTCATCAGTTTTTTCTTTACGATTCTTTGCAGATAATATTATAGTTTTAGATTTGGATTTGGAATTTTGTTCTTTCATTTTATTAATAATTCTTTTCAAATTTCTCTTATCTCTTTTTAGTTTGACTGTTTTTTCATATAATTTCTTAGCTTTTGGGGATAATAAATTTCTTCTGGTTATTTCTTTCAAATCAAGTCTAGCACATAATTTTGAATTTTCTGCATTTTGAAAATGCGAATTTACTATATTCGTTAAATTGTCAAGTTTTTGTTCTTGTTGTAACATCATTTTTTGCTGTTGCTGAAATAATATTTCATGACCTTCTTGTTGTTGTTGCATTAATTCTCCTTGTTGGACTAATATTTCGTAATTTGCTTGCCCTTGTAATATTATTTCTTGTTGCTGTTGAGCGATTATTTCTTGCTGTTTTTGTTGTAGCTTGAGAGAGAGAGAGAGTGAGAGAGAGCTTGTCATGCTTCGGACGTGTGAGACGGCTGTGCGCATGCGCATGCGTGCGTATGTATTCCTACGCCATGTGCGTAGTGTGTGATATATTCGGGCACGTGCCGAGTTAGTTGCGTTTCGTTTGTTGTTGGGTACGAGTGTGAGTCCGCATGCAGTTTCGTTGAAAATTATACGCAAATCATTCCAAGTAGACTTTTACTTTCGCCAGCCTTGTATTCCCATCCTTGTCGTAAAAGTTTTAAAATAGATTCATGCAGTGCAATTTCCTGCTTTTTACATTTGCAGTCTTCTGTTTCGTCATTGTTTCTGTCTTTCGTTTCAGAAATATTTTGTGGTAAATCGACTACAGTCGCTGCAGTGTCTATCAAATTAGTATTGAAATCTTCTAATGGAATATCATTATTTCTGTCCTCTGTATCAGAAATATTCTGTGATAAATTGACTACAGTATCTATCATTGTATCTATCAAATTACTTATAGTATTGCTAGTATTAACTATTGATGGAACAATATGCGGAATTGCAGTATTCTTCAAAAATCGTTTTGTTGGAGAGCAACTCATAATCATGATCACAAAAATGCTTATAGCATACACGTAATTTTCGTATTTCATATTCTTCTATTGGCTGTATAATATTTAGACGCATAAACCATTGTACACGTCGTTTAGGATCTTTTGGGAATATGTGTGATGGTGCATTTTTCCCAGAAGAACATTCAGGAACGCAACATGCCCTTATCATTTTTATTGACGATAGATCTTCCTGTTAAAAAAAATCGATAGAAAACAATACAATTGGTTTTAATCGTAATTATGAACCGTAAAAAAATTATCATGTATAAACGATTCATTACGATAATATATATTATAATCATTTATTCATGATAAGTTTCATTAAAACGCAATATAAAACAATAAGTTACTATAGAAATATAATATGCACACGCATATACACATAAATAAATTATATATTGTAAGAAGTGTTTGCATATCTAGTGATTTATTTTATGTTGGTAATGTAGCGTTGCGATCGCGCCTGTGACGCTCAACTCGATGTTTCTAGCGCTCGTGATTGGGCCTACAGCCACAAGAATATGTGACCGCCTCTCATTGGTCACTTTTCAAAATGCGACACCTGATTAGTCGCTTGAGATATTTCTGGCGCCGTTGACGAAGAAGGAGAGATTGTAACTGAACGTGGACTGACAAGGGACCCTTACAAACTGCACAATAGCTACAGCATAGAGAAAATTATCCAAGCATCTTGATTCCCTTTGGATCACTTTCCATCCAAAAATTAGACCGGAAATGAAATAAATATAAATAATAAAATAGGGCTAATTATTTCAGAAAATTGGTTTTATGAAAAAATATTTCTGTTAATTTTGTATTTCTACGCACGTGATACGCGGTACGCTCTTCTCGCATTCGGGCGTGGTCGAGAAGAAAGGAACTGGTACGCTTTTCTGATTTCAACTGATTAATTTTTGCTCTTACGGATACAAATTCTTCTGTGATCTTTCTATCACAGACACACTTCGGCAACGAACAAGAAATAGAGTCCCTCTAGTCAGAGTCGAGACATAGCAAGCTCTCTCGCGATTGGTCGGCGCCATTTTCTGACTAATTGATGTGTTAGTGAAAAAGGTGAATACATGTGAATGCGTGAAGCCAA